TTTGATTAATAAAAAATATCATTCCTCCCCTTCTTTATTCCCAAACCAAATATACTCTAAATAACTTTGCTATGAAAGGATCTTTATATTTAGGTTTAGTTTAATAATACTAATTTATAACTGCAGTTGTAGGTTTTTTACTTATTTAACATATTAAAAATATATAAAATATATTTAATATTTATTTTAATTAACATTTTATATTTTTTAAAATAATAAAAAAATCAAAAATAAAAAACTAAAACACCGAGAAAAGTTCTCAAATGAAGTCTTAGTATAGTTATAGTTTTTGCAAAAATGCTAAATCACATATTCGTATAAAACAATAAAAAAATAGAAATTATTAAAGAGATTATCAAATTCATAAATTAATAAACAACAGGTTTGGAGTTTTAGATAAAAATAATTTTTAGAAAAATAAGAAGATATTTTAAAAATATAACATTAATTTTGCTCCATCACTTTTACATTAAAAAAGATGATTTTAATTCATGTATCAAACAAACACTAGACTTTAAGCACTGGAGAATCTAATGTTTACAACCCAAATCGATATAAATAAGTAAATAAATAACAGTTTATTTCTTGATCACCAAGGTAAATATTCATCATTCTAAATAAGAGTGAGAGAAAAAAATGCAAATGAAAAGAGAAGAATACGGCTGAGGGGATGAAAGATAAAATGGGTACCAACCTTGGTATCTGAATATTTTGGCCGCTGCAGTGCACCAGCATGACCACCTGAAGAATTTGGACGTTGGGGGAATACATTTGTGGGCAGTAGAGACTAGACAAGACAAGGAGAGTAGCTTATGCTGGTGCTGCCGGCGGTGCTGGTGCTGGTGCCGGTGCTGGTGCTTTTATGGGGGCTTGCTTCGGCGATTCGTGAGTTTCGGAGTGTAGGGGCTTGCTTCGGCGATGCGTGAGCTTCGGAGTGTAGGGGCTTGCTTCGGCGATGCGTGAGCATCAGAGTGTAGAGCTTTGTGGCTTGCTTCGGTAATGTGTCAGCTGCTTTTTTTATGGGTGCTTGCTTCGGAGACGCGTCAGCTTCGGAGTGTAGAGCTTTGTGGCCGTGCTTCGGCAATGTGTATGCGTCGGAATACAAAGCTTTGTGGGTTTGCTTCGGAACACAAAGCTTACGTGGATTTGCTTCGGGAGCTTGCTGCGCGGGCTGCCTTCGGAACGTAGACTTTGTGGGCTTGCTTCGGATTGGAACGTAGACTTTGTGGGCTTGCTTCGGATTGGAACGTAGACTTTGTGGGCTTGTTTCGGAATGTCGAAGCTTTGTCGGCTTCTTCAGCTAGGGGTAAGCTTGGGTACGGTTACACCCATTATAATGCAAGAATTTTATTTATTTGGATAAATGTTTTATCTAAATTGTAAAAGAAGTAGAAAATTAAGTAATAGGAATAAAAATAATATATTTATAAGTATTAATTTAAATAATAAGTATAAATATTTAAAATTATTTACTTGATTTATTTAATTATTTCATTTAATTAACATATTACTTGTATTCATATAATTAAAATTTTATATCTACTCATTATAGTTATATCTATATAATAATAATAATTTTTAAAAATAAAATTATAAAAAAAAAAGAAATCACAAATGCAAGTTATAAATTATAAATTATAAATCATAAACCAAATATATATCACACACATGACCAACAACTTTTTCCTTTTCTTGTATTTTTAGACAACAGTAAGTACTTATAACTTCAATATTTTTTTTAATTTTTACTTTTTCATTAGTAATTTTCAAGTTATAATTTTTATTTATTGTATATATAATTTTTTATCCTTAAAACTTAAAATTTAATATGATAAAACTCATAAGTCAAAAGTATAAATATTAGGATATTAAAATAAATGCAATACCACAGCCACTATCCGTTTCTAATTAGTCAAAGTAGTAGATTAAGGGGACTCCAAAAACCTGAATATCATTTTTGAAAGACTTTATTATGTAATTTAATTATTTTCACATTTTATTTTTTGGTTGCATATTTGTCGTTCTTTATTATTAATTATTCAATTGAGTTTAATTTTCAATGATACTGTAACTTTGAATTTTAGATATGAAACTAAATTTTAGATTTTTATTGTTATTTTAAATTATATTTAAACTTAAATTATAATAAATAATATTTTATT